CTATCTATCTATCTATCTAATCAGACCAGTTTGCAGTGGGAGAACTGACACACCCACGTGAATGGGGGCAGCTGCCATCCCTCAAAAATGTGACCACCCCAGCTGTCATCCCAGTTTTTTGGTGTCAAATGCTGTCAAATTTAACACATTCATTTAGATTAATTTAAAAAAAAAATCTTTTAACTGTTCTCAGTATAATGTATGTGTTTTGAGTTGAAATATCTTCATTTAGGGGCTTTTCCAAATGAATATATTGATATATGTAATTTTTCTTATCTTTGCGATTAAATATTTCTGCCACCTATTAAAGTCTTTCTAGTGGTGGAATAATGTAATGATATACATTTACACAAGTAGGTACTTAAACACAATTTTGAGGCACTTGCACTTTATTGTGTGTCTTAACATTTTTTCTGCTTTGAATTATAGTAAAGAAGAAATAGTCATTATACTTAACAGATTGAGATTTCAATGCAAGACATACATACAACTTATTAAATATGACATATGATATATACCTATGCAAAAGTTAATCAAATCCCTCACCTTTTTTTATTGCATCAAGTACTTTTACTTTTGTACATCTCACAATTAATACGACTTGTAATTTATTTATTTTAAAGTGTGTATAGAATTACATAAATTAGAATTTTTAAGTGTTCTTCCAAGAAGAATGTGACCGTGAATATTGTCCTAATTATTTACACCATAGTAACATTATGAATTTCCCCATTGTGGGACTATTAAAGGAATATCTTATCTTATCTTATCTTATCATAGCAGTGTATTAATTTTTTGCATGAAAACACCCTTAAAATTATTTGTATGGAGCATAGCCCAATCTAGCCTGAGCAGACTCTTCAAGTTTCTTTAGTTTAAGTAAATAATCATACAGTGTAACTTTTACAAAAGCTTTCTTTGCTTTCAATATAGAAACAAAAGTTGTTCAGGAGAAGCTTGAACAAGAACAGGCAAGCTGATACTAGTGCAAGGACAGGTGCTTGTTAGATAGATCTGGACTTTTTATGGTCGCTGACTGTCAAAAAAGACCTTGACTTCTTCTACATCAGGAACTGCCACAGTACACCTTCTAACTGTGGCTTAACTTTTTATACAATGCAACATGATTCATTTCCACCCCATGAAATGAAAAATGCTGCCATTTGAAGCAGAGGAGTCTTGATGGTATTTTAAGCTGAAGAGTGACATCTGGGTGAATCACATCTATTACACAGAAACACCAACTCAATGTCATGTCCGTGTTCTTTCCTCATGAATCACCTAAACTAGATTTTAAGCATAATATAGTGTAACCACAAAGCTGTGTTTATGTTCACATCACTGGCCATACTAGAAAGGGGAGTGAGCAAAAAAGCAGATGAATGAAAAGAGATGGAAATGCATTTACATTTTTGTAACTTATATTACTTGCTAAATATTTATCAGCAACATTAAACATCTTGTTTTTCAGTTTGTATCAAAACATCATGCTCTTAACACCAGACGATAGAGAAATAAGCAAATGCCGCTGCCTTCTTAGCAGCATGAAAGCCTCTGCCAAGAGCATCCCTCCTTGTTAAACCAATCCCCCCTGAAGCAAACGAAAAGTGTTTTACTTGCATTGGTTCAGGCAATGCAACCCTCAAAGGGGACATTTATTATATAGAATTTTCTATCTTTATAGCTCAGCTGGCTGGCACATCAGGGCACTATACTTGGCTTTGTTGGGCATGCATCACTTTAAAATGATTTTTATCATGACGGGTCGTCTCTGGTGGGGAAAAAAATGAATAACATAAGCTTCTGAAATT